ACGGCGTTGCACCACATCCACAGCTCACTGYATTTCCTAGTATATGTCCCTCTCCTTTCTAAACCCTTGTGTACTTCTGCTTCTCCTCCTTTTCTCCTTTTCTTCTTCTTCTTTTCTCCATTCGAAACCTTTTTGGATTCAAGACTGACTGTAGTCTTGATCGACTACTTGGTATCAGAGCCTATCTAGGGTTTCTCATGTGTGTCTAGTCCAGCCAACCACATGAGAACTGCCTAGGGCTAGAAGCTTACAAAGAATTGTTCGTTGGCTGATTCTTGGAGGTTACCAGAAGGGATTAGCAGCTGTCCAAAGGCTTGTAGAGGCTTGGAGAGTGTTTTGGTAATCAGGAAGAATCAGAGAAGGTTAAAAGGATCGATATTAGGATTCAGGCCGAGATTGAAGGTGGCGATCAGAGTTTTCTGGGTAAGTTTTTATTTTTTCCTTGAGATCGTCGACAGTCAAAGATAGGTTGGACCTATCTAGGAGGAGCGGCTGAACTCTCCTTTATTTTCTCAGAGGCGATCAGGTTTTTCTGATTTTTTTTAGGGTTTGTCATTAACCCTACAACCAGATTTGATTGTAAACCTATTTGGAAGGTGTGGCTGAGCACTGTTTATGTTCTCACAAAGGTTTCCTTAACCCTACGATCAAACCCTAAATCTGCTTCAGCATTATAGATTGTTTTCTAAGTGGTTTTTAGACCTGTTTTGGCTTCAAAGCCTGTTTTGGGGTGAGAACCTTTATTGGACTGCTTACATTCTGAACTGTCGATTGGTTTCAGATCAGATCCGAACTGAACTCATACAGAATTCTGACTGCGATCCGTTATTTAAGTGTTGTTTTCTATTGCAGTAGCTCTAATAGTTCTTAATTACTAATTCTTAACCAATAATGGAGTTCAAGAATCAGGGGAAAGGTGTTTTTGGGAACAACAGTTCTGGTAATATGTCTGAGACTGCGTTTCAGATTACAAATGTGAGATTTGACGGATCCAATTACTTAGAATGGGCCCAATTGGCCATGATGGCTATTGGGGGAAGAGGAAAACTTAGCTACCTATTGGGAGATGTGAAAGAACCTTCCAAGGAGAACCCAATGTATACCAAGTGGGTTCAGGAGAACTACTTGGTTATGACATGGCTGTGCAACTCTATGCAGCCACATATCAGCCGAAATTATTTGTGGGCAAAAACAGGCAAGGAGATCCGGGATGTCATGAAAGAGACCTACTCCCAACCCCTTAATGTTGCTAGAGCCTATGAATTGAAGTGTGAGGTAAATAACCTCAAACAATGAGAGAAACCAGTCTCTGTTTATTTCTCTACTTTGAAGTCTCTGTGGCATGAAATTGACCATCTGGAGACTCTTGAGTGGGAAAGTCCAAAAGATGCACAGACCCATAGAAAGCAAGTTGAGACCAATAGGGTGTTTGAATTCCTGGCTGGTCTGAATTCCGATTATGACATTGTGAGACAGCAGATACTAACAAGAGACAGTGTGACCTTATCTCAAGCCTACTCTTTGGTGCATAGTGAAGAGACTAGGAGAAAAGTTATGATGCAGCATCAACCCTTCCCCCCAGCCCTAGCAGCAGTTAAACCTAAGTCTGGGAGTGATATAGAAAGAGACATGAAGGAAGATAAGCGGGATCTAGTGTGTGAACATTGCAAGAAACCCAAGCATACTAAAGATACATGTTGGAAGTTGCACCCTCATTTAGTCCCAACAAAACTACGGAACAAAAGGGGTAATGCTCATATGGTTAATACCGATTCAGCATCCTCATCGGGCACAAAAGACACGCCCCTAGACACCTTAGCTGCTGTTCGAGCTGCCCTAATACAGTTGGTTGGGATTTCAGCTCAGTCATCATCAGCCCCAGCCACATCGGCCTTTGCTCATTCAGGTACTCGGGCCTCAGCTTACCATGCTTTAGCTCCAGGTAACGYTGAACATTGTTGGGTAATAAACTCAGGTGCATCTGACCATATGACTAGCTTGCCATCACTGTTCACTACCTATCACTTATCTTCTAGTAGAGATAAAGTATCCATTGCTGATGGTTCCCTTGTTCCCATTTCTAGCAAGGGAGACATCAAGTTGTCTGATACTATCTCCTTATCCTCAGTCTTGCATGTTCCTAAACTTGATACTAATTTACTTTCAGTCAGTAGTATTACAAAACACCAGAACTGTTCAGTAACCTTTTTCCCTGACCGATGTGTTTTTCAGGATTTGGAGACGAGGAAGGTAATTGGGACTGGTCGTGAGACGAATGGGATCTATCTGCTTGGAGAGAGTTCTCATTGGAAAGAGCATGTGGATAAGAAGTCTTTTGTTTCTCAGTCGTGAGTCCAGTTATGCTTTGGCATAATCGTTTAGGTCATTTATCATTTTGGTCTTTGAAGAGTTTGTTACCTAATTTGTTTGAGTCTGTTGAGATGTCAAATTTGAGATGTGAGAGTTGTAAGCTTGCAAAGCATTGTAAAACATCTTATTCCTTGAGTAATAAAAGAAGTAGTAATTCTTTTGATGTTGTGCACACCGATGTTTGGGACCCATATCACATCCCTTCTATGGGAGAGTACAGATATTTCCTGTTGTTTGTTGATGACTATACCCGTTTTTCTTGGGTTTACCTTATGCGTTCTCGAGATGAGGTTCCCGCTCTGACCCAGACCTTTCATCAGATGATTTTAACCCAGTTC